CTGAATATCTGATCACAGAGCCTGGACCCTTGTCGAGCTTCCCCGCGAGACTGACATCCTGCTGCAACTGCTGCCCGAGTTATGTCCGATAAATTGAGGATGGTCAAGAGGGTGTGCGTATGGGTACCTAATTTTCTTGTAGAAGCACGAACGCAGTACCGATTCTATGCCTGTAGCAGCGATGCCCATAGCCTGAAACGTCATTCACGACTGTGAGGAAGCACTGTCGCCCTAGATGACATATGGGTACTCTTGAAGTCCGAGTAGAAACTCACAACCATCAATTCTGTATGAAAGCAGATAAGAAGCCGCCCTAGTTGTGCCATCAGGAGTTACGTGGGCTGGATGATCATCGATATTATTCTATTAGGTTGGTCGAAAAGTCCTGCGACACTTTGACCAATTTTTCGGACTAAATTTTCAGTCACTAAAAGACATCTCCAATCTACAAGGTAATCACCACTAAGGACTAGGACTAGTGCCCTTCTTTTGCACAGCTTCTCATTTCCATTCTTATAGAACTACGGCAACTATGATAAGAAGAAGAGGTGGACCTCATTTTTGAGTAGACGTCGATTTTCGGAATTTTTGCCTTCTTAAGGATGCGGTAGGGATCAAAAAAGGTAGTAGTTAGAGACTGCTAACTTTGATGAATAAGCTGGGTATGGTCGCATTCTCAGATCAAGATCCACGATCTTTTGGTGTGGCCTGATCCTAACATGCGGTCTTCGCATTGCCGAGCGGTAGAGAAAAATTGAGTATTTTTGAAGAATTCAAGCGTGACGTCATCCATGTTGTGAGGTTGGTTAGAGTGGACTGTAGTCCTTACCGTTATGCTAGTATCCAGAGATACCGCTTTGAAGTCCCACCAATAACCTACTGAAATCTTTATCCCATGCACATCTGCTTTTGGCTGTGCAATCTACTTTTCTGTTTGAGAGATCCTGCGAGGAACATGTGCAAGATGTACGCAAGGACCCCACCACTCTCTACCAACCACAAGATCTCACAAATGTTCCTCCAGTGTGTACAAGGAAAAAAAAACTCAGTCACGGTCATTCGGTATGACTTGTCAGAGGGGTTCAACTCATGAGGCATCCTTCATAAAAAATTTTTCCGATAACCGAGACTGCGGAGAAGCATGGCAGTTGTCAGTTAGGTGGAGCCTAGAGAGGTTGCCAACTTACTGGTGGTTACGTTCGGCTGCGCCTCAAGAAGCTTGAGTAAAGGGCCGTCATTCTGTGCTGGTGGCCGACCTATACATTGCCTACTTCCGAGTTGAATAAGTCCAGCCTGGAAGCGCTGATGCAAAAGGAACTCTCTGCTATGGCAAGCGATATCCTTCCTCAAGACAACGTAAGTGTTAGCTTCCTCGACTATGGCGGAGTTGCCCTACAGGAACTCATAATATGGGATAGGTCGAGAAGTACCTCGATCTCTGAGGTATTTTTAAGCTTTGAAAACTTCCACGGAGCCATGATATACCCATTTTCAGAAACCTCAGGAGACAGTCTCCACTAATCAGAGATAAAAACATTCAAAATGATTTTTGGTCTTTTTCTAGAATAGTTCAAACAAAAGTGTCGCAGGACTTTTCGACCAACCTAATATGAATTTCCGCACTGCGGCTTCTAAACTGCTCTGCCCAGCGAACGAAACCGTAACTGACTACTGTTCCTCGACAAGCCGGATCCACTAGTACTGTCAACAGTAAACGCTACGACGTTTGTCATTCACCGAAGTTGGCATCAACAGCAATTTACTCACACTTATTGGAAAAACGAAGGTGCCGGTCCGAACGCTCCCGTGGGAGGTCGTTAATGGTTCGACTCCCCTCGGCGTGCGAGTTTTTGCATTTTTTATGTTTTGCTGTTTTCGCGTTCAAATATGTCTGTGCGTGAGTATGCGTTCGATAACTGCCATTTATGGGCACATTTTAAATGGGATACGCTCCATGAATCGGTGCTATTCAATTATTTCAGGTTTTACACACCATTAAGCGAGACAGTAGTTGAAAGTTGATCTTTATAGGTCAGACAATGCCCGAATCACGAATATGGAACTCACTTATAGCTATGGTGCCATTTATCGCTAATATGGAGCCACATGTTTCTTCAAATGAATGCGTTAAATACATACATATAAGGGACGTGTAGCGCTACCCAGGCGCCAAATTACGTCGGCGCCGAAAATAAGTGTCAAAATCGTGATCGGGGCCATCGATTACCCCTGTAAACAATCTTTCGGCCAAAAAATTTTTTTCGACTTTTTTGGGTGTGTGCGTTGGGTTGTGCCCGACAGTCTTTCTATAGAAGTCTACAGTGTAGACGCACAGGGACGCCCCTATTTTATAAAATATACAAACATAAAACTAACAATATCGATGAAATTCATGCAAAGAGGAAGGAAATGGAAGTATTCGTCTAGGTCGACTTCAAAAAAAAGTTGAGTATTTTTGAATGAGTGCAATTTCTGTTCCGCTAGGGGAGGTTGGCATCTTTATTGAGCGAGCAGGCGGCAGGAATCGGCAAAGGCCCAAGGTGCTTTTTTACGAATGGCCGACCACTCTCACTGATGCCAAGCATGAGAGGACCTTGGGCGCGCTCTTGCGACACGGCTGTCCTGCCCGTGGCCTACTACGTCATCGTCACGTCATCATCTTTACGAAGATGTGGGACTCCAGTCACGCACTGGCGACCAAACGGTCTATCTACAATCCTAAAAATGAAAAATTTTCACTACGAGAAGTCGTGGGGATATCGATGGTCTATTACGATTTTTACACATTGTTTTTTGGCAGCGGACGCAATTTAGTATATGTATGCGCTAAAAATTCCTGCGTGTATGAGGATACAAAACGTACTTTTCACTCCTTTTTTGGCGTTCCTGGGGCCGCTCAGCGAAAATGAACCCCACTTCTGTGGTCTATGTTCAAGTCCCTACAAAATGCAAAAAACCATTTTGAAAAAGCGGGGCACGCCCTGAACGACCTTCTTCGTTAGAGACAGAAGGCTTTCAACTGAGGATACGTTCGACATTTAGGTTGCTTTTTCCTTCATTAATGTCCCACTTGTCCGCATGATCTCATGGTTCTCAGTCATACGACATCCAAATACACTTCGTACGCGCTGCACACTATCTATTTTTGCATGTTGTATGCAAATGGCAATGTACAGGGTTGCGAAAAAACGTGCGCCACAAAAAGCGTTCAATTTTCACTCTTAGCCAACAAGCATTCAGAAAGGTTTCTTTCTATAACAACAGGCTCAACATTTTATAATCACAAGGTATGTTCGAAGTGGCGGCATCCGCTTTTGTTACAGGAGTTAATTCGTCTGTCCATGGGATCCGTGGTGCGCCGCCGGTAATATACTCGAAATCCCTGAGATCGGGTAGGCGTGGCTGCGTACTTGATTTTAAAATGGCGGCGGCCCAGGTTTTCGTGAGATATTGCCATTTTGGAGCAGTCGTAATCATGTCTACATCTAACACAGAACAAGATAGCAGTTGTTTCAAATTGAAGTATCCCACGAGAAACCCGTCCTATGCCATGCTCAAAAGCCACGCCTACTCCGTCTAGGGATAGGAAGTGTAGTTAACGTCTAAATCGTTCCAAAATTGGATCAATCATCTTCGAGTCGCCGATTTTTTTACATTTTGAGCCCTGAGTTGCAGTTCCGTATGCCCGAACGAAAAAGTCTAACAGACTCAGGTTCGGGCTGTTTACAGGCCACAAATCCTTCTTCAAAGAAGAACAGATTTGGATCTAAGGAAGTGGATTGTTGTATTAGCTCCATGGGCTGGAGCCTAGTCTTGCTTAAAGATAAAATTAGGATGTTCTTGCTTGATTTCCACGTTTTCATTGAGAAAAATCGAAGGGATCTCACTCGAGGCACCGCAATGGTAATTTTTCACTTGCTGTGTTCTTGAGAGCTATGCTAAGAAGTTGCTGGTGATTTGGTGGTGATTATGAAAGCATTTAGCCACTTCGACGGTGAAAAATCCTCGTCAGACCAGAGGACCTCGTCATTTCGCGCACCTTGGAAAATTTCGAAAATTCTTGCATTTTTCCTTCCTATTTTGCTTTGCATAATCCATAAGAATTGTCTGCTGAACATACGATAAACCTGAAGTGTAGGCTCACACTGTACTATCATATGAACAGCCTTGCGAAAGATATTGGGCTGTTTGGCCATCTTGTTCGCCTTTTTCACATTTTTGAGTTAATCGTTCTGTTAATATTCCCACAAATCTGTAGGTTGTTGACAGTCCGTTTTCGTCCACATATGTGTTTCAAGTGAACGTGCTCTTCCACTTTCCACTGCTTTAAAGTCTTCTAGACGGTTCCTAGAGGAATTCCGAGCCTCGAAGAGAATGCCGAGTTCTTCATCCCATTCTCGGCTGAGCGTGCGATCGTGTCACGACCTGGACAGATCTTCGCCATAGCTTGGGAAACAAGTTTTTTAGCACTGCACCCTTTACTGCCCCAATCATCCGAAATCTGGGTAGTTTTTGACCGACTTTCTTCTCCGTGAACGGAATTGGCTAAAAATTTGCCTCCTGCGGTTTCGACCTGGATATGGATATCACATCCGCTCGGCACAAAACCTCCTGGCGATCGCGCCACAGGCGCCGGCGCCAAAATACAAAAATCACCAAATTCGCTGAAAACTTGTTCCCAGGGGTAGTTTGACCTCCTGAACACGAATATTACATCCGTTTGGCACGAAACCTCCTGACCCTAGCCCCACAGGCGTCGGCGCTAAAATACCACGGATCGCGGGCGCCAGGAGATTTCGAGGCAAGCGAATGATGTGATATTCGAATTCAAGAGTACAAACTACGCAGGAGACAACATTCGAGCCAAATCTGTCCTCTGAAAAAAAGTCGGTCAAAAATGGCTCGCTTCCGGTGACTGTAAAGGGTAAATAGTGCCGATTTTTTCTGAAAACCAATAATAAGCAAACAGTTGGATATTTAGGAAAGAAAAGCATGCGTAAATGTTTCACACTGTAATAAAAAACCGAGTCAAATGTCACGCGCACGCATTTTTTCGCCACCCCGTACACTTGCCTATTGTAGGGCAGCGTCAAAATAAAGGATGAGGTTGAAGCAGTTTACCAACTAGTAGCATCCGAGCGCAACTGCAACGGTAGCGCGTCAGTGCGTTATTGATGCGAAGTCTGAACGCAGTCTAGAGCATGTGCTTGTGGCGCAGAGGAACAACTTCTGTTGCGTCGCCGCATGCCCTTTCCCCAAAAAGCTGCGTCGTTGAAAATGTTCTAGAATCCTAGATTGTCAAGAATTTCACTTCTTTGGCTGAGAGAAGTCGCATGAAGAATCTCTACGCATTGATAGACTAGACAGTTCTGGTTTGCTATGGAAATGAAGGATCCTTCCTAGCAGTAGATGCATTCAGAAAACGAGCGGTAACATGAAATTTTATGATTTCAGATCGAAACTCACCTGAGCACGTGCACCTTGCTGGTGGAACCTCCACAATTGTATTTTGAACAACCCCTTCAAGACGTCGAAGTTCAATACGGAGAATCGGTCACGCTGTTCTGTAGCGTCTTCGGCGCACCTCAGGTTGGTTAGAGAAAAGTCATCTCTTGCGAGTTTACGGTTTCTCTTCCCGTCATTTCCTACAAACCTGCAAACGATGTAAACGATTCAGCCGAACTGAGTCTCCAGAGCGCGTATATAGTTGATATATTTGCAATCAGTGGGGGCGGTGTCAGGAAGGGCGGGATGAGGCCCGTAGCCGGCTGCCTTGCTTTACCAATGGTGAACGGTTAGTGATCGAGCTAGGAGGAAAACAGCTAGTGGTGAAAAAGTCACAGATGGGCTCATCCAGTCGTACTCGAAACCGTGCTGAGTGATTGCGAACATATCAACCGCAATCGTTAATTCCATGTTTCAAAAGATACGAGATGTGTGCGCGACATTCGCACCAAAGCTAAATTGATTCAACGCGGCAGTGCAGTACTAAGTCAAGTCCGCTCTAGGAAATAGTACCTAGATTGCACTTCAACAGAGACCGCACTAGAACTAGAGACCCACACCTTCCCATTCATTAGATCACGCTTCAGAGAAATGCGGTACTCCTCGAAAATGCCCCGATCACCTTAGTTTCGTCTGTTTTGAACGTATTTCCTCTGATTTCTCGAGGTTATGCATACCAAATCACCTCAGGGAACCACTTCTATGGGCGCTCTACTTGTTCATTCTCCGAACCCCCAGGGACTTGCCGATTGTTGATAGGCTTTTGGTTTTTCTCCGATTATGAGCTTCCTCTGGAATTTTCCCTGGTTTTCCTCATGTTCGCTTGAAAGTTTCAAATTCAGCGTTTATCAATCTCAGGCCGCCGTCAAGTGGTTCCACAGAGGACACGTAGTTGCCGCATATTCAGCACCATCAGTGGAAACTGCAGTGCACACGACTCGTATCGCCAGTGGAATGATCGAGACGAGTAAGATATCCTATCCACTGTTTCCTGTATTAATCCGCATCATCGCTTCCATTTTCAGAGCTCTTCGTGCCATGTGTAACCCGACATACTCTTGGTGAATACACCTGCGAGGCGATATCGCCTTGTGGCGAAGTGATTTCATCGACTGCAATTGTCGGTCTTTCAAATTCGCTCAGAGGTGGGTTGCCGTAGTGAAAAGAAGTAAAAAATACGATGACGTTAGATAGATTAATGATAACTGACTCTTCTTTGTAGTTACTTCTGCCATTTGCCTTTTCTGAAACTGGTTCTGAATTTATTTTTGCGAAATTTTCCTTTGGTTTCACTGTTTTTTCCGTTGGAAACATTTGTCACTCTGAAACAGGGTACGCCATCGTTGTGATCATCACTAAGGGGGGGTTTCGTACTGTGTGACCGCCGAGGAGGGAGGTACGTGAACATTTTGGTCAGTTCACGAACGCAACTACTGATTTCCGACACATTGGAAAATGATACTTTAATCTTTTTCTGACGTGCCTCCGCCCCCCGCCCGCAGACAGCTGGGAGGGGGGGGTCGTACCAACTCCCAAAAAGGGGGTCGTATTTTAGTATGGAATTAGGGGGGTCGTAATTTTCAGAAAATGATCACAACGCGATGGCGTGCCCTGCTCTGAAAACTAGGTCACCGCGCGCGGCGCGCGGCGGTGAGTCCTGACCTGGCATTTTGCCAGCTTCTAATCAGTACAACAGTATCGCAGTTTGTTAGAAGCACTCTTTCGCTCCTTCATCTTTCATCCCTGTACTTCATGCTTTTATCTTTCTCTTTTGTGTCACAGGATGTGAACTGGAAGATGAAAGGTGCAAACTAATAGGTGCCTAATTGGTAACTGGTAATGCCTCGAAACAAAAACATGTTTTGTAAAACATAGAATTTTGATGGGCTGGCATTTACTGCGCAGAAGCGTCGAGGTTCGCAGCGGAAACGATGGACGTCCCACATCTGAAAAAGGGACTACATATTCATAAGCATGACCTTAACCTTAGGTTTGCATCTTTTTCTGTGTAAAAAGACACCATGGGTATTATAGAACGACTTCACCAAGATTTTTGAATGCACTAAATCTCACAACAAATCATTGTCTTCAAATGAACAGGATGCACACTTATCGAGCAAAAAGTATGCAAAAATCGAACCAAATCGTCGCTTCTCACCTCGGCGACCTACAGTCATCATCCGAGCAGTTGATTAGGGCGGTCGTCGAAGGGCCGCAGACGCGGCTGCAGCAGCGACCGCGTGCGTAGGAACTGTTGGTGGCGAA